CTTTCAGAGGTGACAGAGATTGTTGAGGGCGCAGGGTGGGCAGTGGGGATGACATGATGTCATTTAGGTCCTGATTTGTCACCCTGTGGTCCCCAAGACGCACACTGAAGAGATGTCTGCATGTCTGGGAGACCTCACGGGGCAGCAGACAGTGAGCCTGGCTTCGGAGCCACAGGTCCCAGCGGAGTGCTCCTCGGAGCCTGCACCCAACACAGGACTCCAGCAGGGCTGGCTGGGGCCACCCATCAGGCACATTAGGGCCTGCAGGATGGACTGAAAGGAGGACCAGGCCACTTCTCAGATGCCTGAGGCCTGACCGCCACCCCCCTGAATGAGTAGCAAACCCCCAAGAAACAAGAACAGGGGCCAGGTCCAGGCCACTTCTCAGATGCCTGAGGCCTGACTGCCAGCCCCCTGAATGAGTAGCAAACCCCCAAGAAGCAAGAACAGGGGCCAGGCCTATGCTGAAAGTTGGACTCATGTGACTTTTTTTCTTTTAGACATTTTTTGCTATAGGGTGTGTGTGCTCGCCAGAAAGACAGAGACAGAGAGACAGAAAGCAAGTAATCACCCCCCAGGGGGGATGGCCACGCCGCAATCCTTTCTCCTCCATTCTCCTCTTGGGATCTTGGGCACGCACACATACGTGCCCAGCATGAGTTTAAGCTACCAGGTCCTGGACTCGAACTGCGGTCGATTACATGGAAGTCCAGCGACATAGCCATTACGCCAATTGCTGGTCCCTCACGTGGCTATTTGATCCTCACAACTACCCAGTAACATAGGCTCAAGGTTCTGAGGTCACTTGTTTGAGATGATGTAGCCCAGAGGCTCACAGGACTTTAATCCAGATCTGCCCCAGTCAAGGCCTGAGCTCCACCCAAGCCCTGGCCATACCACCTTGGGCCTTCCTTCCCCACAGCACGGCTTCGAGTCACAAGGGGGGACTCCAGGGTCTAAGCAAATTTTCCTTTGTTCATGATAAACCACGAGAGAGAGAGAGACACCAAGACTGAGATCTTCAGTTCTCCAACCTACTAGATCTCAGGCATTCGCGTGTATACCAGCATGTTTCACGCTAACGGGGCTGAGGATTTGAACCACAGTAACATGTGGGACCGGGCTTCTCTTGAGCAGCATGTTAGCATGTTAGTAGTGCCCTAGAGCCAGCCCAGTGAGCTTCTTTTTTTTTTTTTTTCTTTTTTCTTTTTTTTAGTGTAAGTCGCATTCACTTGCCAGAGACACAGAGACAGAAAGAGAGAAATCATCCCCTTCAGGGATAGCCATGTCACAATCTCTTCTCCTCCATTCTCCTCTCTGGATTTTAGGCGTGCTGCCAGGTCTGGGACTTGAACTGTGGAGTCTGCCATGTGGGATCCAGCACCTTAACCACCAGGCTACCTGAGCATTTTAATCAGTTCCCAGGGAGTTGCTGTTTGAGCCCCGGACTCAGGGGGCGGTAACTCCTCACCACAAGCCATCTGATTCTTTGCCTGGGGACCACCTGAAATTGGAGCAGACAGATCTGGGTTCACATCCTGGTCATCTCACTTACACGCAAAGGGATTTCACTTTCACCAGGCTGGTCTCAGTTTCCCTATCTGCTCCCTCCCCACCCCACCCTCCAGCTGTCATAGGACCTGAGACACAGGATGGCTCTGCTAACGCTCCTGGGCCCGACAGTCATTGTCATACACTCTCAGGGTTGGTGGCCTGGGCTCAGTCTTTGGTGGACCAGCCAATAGGGCACCCACTGCATGCAAGGACATGGGGTGAAAAGGGACACAGGGCCAGTCCTTCATAAGCCACAAGGCAGGTGAGGACAGAGGGATGGATAGAGCAGGGTCCCTGTCCTGGTAGGTCAGGTGCAGAGGTTGTCCCCGAGCTTGGAACTCCCAGAACAGGAGCTGCTCCAGGGGTCAGAGGACCATGAGGACAGCCAGAAATCCTATCCCTGTCCCTTCCCTGCTGTTCCCCTTCTCTCCACTCATTGCTGAAATGAGGGGTGACGTCTGAGGGGACTTCCGGCATTTGGAAGTCAGAAGACACTCTTGAAAGTGGATGGGCATGGTCTGGGCAGGGAAAGGAAAATGGCCAGGACATCAGTTGATGCAGTGGTTGAGGCTTTGGGCTCTCACATGGCCAACCATGGTTCAAGTCCTGAACCTGGAGGCTTGAACCAGGCATGTGTGCATGTGTGCCCAAAATCCCGAGAAGAGAATAAAAGAGATCGTGGCATGGCCATTCCTCTGGGGGGTGATTTCTCACTTTCCGTCTGTCTCTCTGGTGAACTCACGTACCCTATAGCAAAAATCTTAAAAAAATAAAATTAAAAAAAAAAAAAGAAAGAAAGAAAAGAAAAAGAAAGAAAAAGAAAAAAGCCAGGACCAAGCATACAGGCCTGCTGCTGCTGCTCCTCACACAGGTGACGAGTGAGTCTGAGGAAAGGGATCCAGACAGGGCTCCCAGGTAGTGAATGAATGAAAGAGAAATGGGAAGCACCATTTCCTCAGCCCCGCCTGGGTGCTCAGCTGTGCTAAGCACTCTGGACACCTCCTGTCCCCTGCGCCTTAGGGGGTAACAGGTTCCGAGCGTGTAAGTGCCTGGGCAGGGTCCCAACACTGCTGTTACTTCCAGTCCCCAGGGGACCTGGCTAATATTAACACTAAAATTAATACCGGGATTAATATTTATAGAAGCCAGGTATCCATATTACATTTCCTCGGCTCCAGATACTAAGTGCTTTATGTGCAATGTAACATTTAATTCTCACAACTTCCCACAAGAGGGAAAGTTTTACATTTTACAGATGAAAAACGGAGGCTCAGAGAGGCTAAGCCAGTGGCCCAAGGGCACACAGGTAAGTGGAAACCAGGATTAGAATCCACAGCCCAAGCTTTAAACCATCATGTGCCCTGCCCATGGGGTTTACCCACAGCCGGAGATTTTGCTTCAGGTTGACACTCGAGGACCCGTTTTGATGATAAAGAACCCCCACCCAGCTACTCAGGGAAGTTGGGGGGCAAGTCTGCCTTGAGAAAGCTAGCAGCAGTGGGTAATCTCTCTTCTTCCTAGCACCAAGAAAGACAGCCAGGGAAGTAGGGAGCTACAGCAGGTTATTGAGGAGTGGGGCCCACAGCACTAGACGCTGGGAGGTCAGCCAGCTGTAGGGTTAGGAGGGGAGTCTGGGGGCCTGCCAGACTAGGCCTGCTCCCAACAGAGCAGTGAACCAGGCCCTGTCCCTCCACCCCATGGTCTCTGAGGGCCAGAGGTGACAGATGGCATTGCCCAGGCCTGGGCTATAGCTGTCACTTGGCCAGATGAGTTACTAGTGGGCCAAAGGGGGCGGCAGCCAGGGGGGGCGCAGAAACAATCGCATCAAGACCCCAGGACAATGGGGGCCACGTGCCACAGGGGCAACAGTCGTTTGTCACACAATGGGCCTCTGGGGGGGACAGCCGCCGGGCCAACTGCTGCCACCGACAGACACGACAGACACGGGCCAACCAAGTTTTCAAATCGCTCCCAGGCCCTGTTTTTCTATGAGGCAGCCAATCGTGGGGGTGGCGGGCCGTCACCTGATGCCAGCTTCATGGGCTGAGGGCCCAGGCCTGGTGGTCATGGCAACGCTAATTGTGGCCCTAAAACACAGGAGAGAAGGGTGGAGGAGGGAGGGGAGGAGAGAGGGAGGGAGAAAGAGAGAGAGAGAATGCGAGCTCAAGATAGCCGAGCAGAAGGAAGGGGGAGAGGGGCCTGTGCCCCATGCAGGACCCTCTATCAGGCAGAGATGCCCTTTTTGGCTGGGTTGGTTGGGTTCTCCCTCCCTCTCTCCCTCTCTGTCTCCCCCTCAGGCTCTGAGACCCCGCCTACTCTTGGAACTGGCACTCACAGCTTGGACCGTGGGCCTCTTGCAACAAAACAGAAAGGCCCTGTCTTTCTGTAAGCTGGGGTGGCTTGGGGTGGGGAAGAGCCCCGGGGAGTGGGGGGCTTCCAGAGCTTGGACCCCCACCCCCCAGGAGCGTTCCTCCGTGCCCCATTCCCCCGATCTTCCTCTCCTCTCTGCAGGCGATGGCAAGGGCTCCTGGGCCAGTGCGGATATTGCCACGTGGACAGGAGACCGGGTGTGGCCCACGGCTCTTGGAACCACGTGGCACGCACGGCTTCAGGGGCGCTGGGAGTGACAGGCACCTCATACTGGGGAACTGTCTGGTATCCTCGATGGGTAGCCCCTTTCCTTCCATCAGAGCAATGGTTTGCTCAGGACTCTGTTAGGGGGCAGTGGGCCTCCAGGGGCTCCCCAAGGTCCTGGTGAGGAGCTAAGCTTAAGGCCGCACTCCCCAGGGCCTCGCCCTCCACTCGCTGCTTCCTGTGGCCTCAGCCAAGTGACTGGGTGTCCAGAGTCTCAGCTCTCCCGTCTGGAAGAGGGGGTACCAGCATGGCCTACGTCTTGGGGCTGCCTGTTGAACCCTGTCCCCTGGCACCCATAGTCTCAGCACATGACCCATCATGGGTGGTCCCCAACTCATGCCATTCACATGGGCCCAAACATGGCGGGAAGCTGTCTGACCTGGGTCAGGCACTCTGGGCACTGGGCAGCCAAGCCTGCCACAGCACGAAGGGCCTGGACCACTGGCCCTGCTTGCCCTGCACTGTGGTATCCCAGGTGAGCACCTGCGGTGCCTCAGTTTCCCCATTTGTAAACAGGAACAGTAGTGATATCTGCCTCAGGACGACTGGGAGTGTTGAATGTGTTTGGCCTGGGCCTGGTGCATAATAAGTGCTCGGCAGAAACACTTTTGTGATGGGTGCTAGGTAAAATGGGGAAATGACTGGAGAATGCACACCCTAGAAACCACAGGGGGATCCTAGGGCCAGGTCCTCTCCCCCAGCCTCTAGGTGGCATGAGGAGGAGCTAAGGGGGTGCTTCCAGAGGCCAGGAAGCTTCCCAAGGGCCGGCCTACGCTCCCCATCCCGCCCGAGCTCCCTGCACCTCTTTGCAGGCTCATAGCTGCCACCAGTGATGAAGACCTCCCAGGGGACCTGCAGTCGCTGTCGTGGCTCACGGCCGTGGACGTGCCTCGGCTACAGCAGATGGCAAGTGGCCGCGTGGACCTGGGCGGCCCCAGTGCGCCACATCCACACCCAGGTAGGCTCAGGGGCAAAGTGGGTGAGAGATGGGAAGGAGTGTGTCCTAGCCCTGCCACCCACCTCCTGTGTGGCTGCAGTCAGGGGACTCTTTCTCTCTGGGCCTCTATTTCCGCATCTATAAAATGGGACTGGTTCTTCTTCCTTAGAGGTATGTGGTTCCTCAGTGACTTAACACTGCGCGCCAGACCTAGAGGGAACTGTTTCTGCCAAGAATGAGGACAGACCAGCCACCACCCTGGGGCATCTCGAACATTCGGCCCTGGGGCTAACTGTAGCCGGTGGCCTATTTCTGCATAGCCTTCGTGTTAGGAAGGTTTCTCCTTTTTTTAATTTTTTATTTGCCATAGAGTGCATGTGCTTCCAGGAAAGAGACAGACTCAAAGAGAGAGAGGGAAAGCGAGAAAGCATCCCACAGAGAGGAGGGCCACACTGCAATCCTGTCTCCCCCATTCTCTTCCTGGGATTTGGGGTACATGTGCCTGGTGTGTTTTTTCAGGTTGCTGGGTCCAGAACTCGAACTGCACAGTTGGCCATGTGGGGATCCAGCTGCCTTAACCACCTCTATACACCACAAGCTGGCCTGGGCTTTTCCTTTTTTTTTTTTTTTTTTTTTTTTTTTTACATTTTTTTGATGTGGGGGAGGCGACGACAGTGGAAAGAGTTTTGCTATAGGGTGCATGCGCTAGCTGGAGAGACAGACATATAGTGAGAAATCACCCCCTAGGGGAGATGGCCACACCACAATCCCTTCTCCATTCTCCTTTCAGGATCTTGGGCATGCACACACATGCACCTGGCATGAGTTTCAAGCTGCCAAGTCTGGAACTCAAACCATAGTTGGCCATGTGGGGAGTTCAGAACTTTAACCACTATGTCACCCACTGGCCTTTTCCATTTTTTTAATGGTTGTAGAGAAACAAAGACAGATGGCTGGCAAAGCCTAAAATTCTTGTTCTCTGGCCCTTGACAAAAGAAGTTTGCTGCTCCCTGATCTAGAAGATTCTGAGAGACACTACATGGGAAGTGCTGAGCATATGGGGTCAGGTACACAGTGGGTACTCAATAAAGAACGGCTAGTTGTAATCACAAGTGGATTAAATGCTTAATAAAGACACAGAACCGGTTGAAGAAAAACAGGACAAACAAAAACAACTGCCACAGAAGGTCAGACAATGGCCCAGCTATAAAATACAACACTCTGTTAGGCTGTCTCCCATGAGAAGGTTCCCAGTTCAAGTCCAGAGACCTCCCTATAAGTACGCCAGGTGTGAGTGTGCCCATGGTCTGGGGCTGGCAGATCACGGCTTTAAGACATTATTGGGGGTCGGGAACCAGCAGTTAGCGTAATGGCTATGTCGCTGGACTCCCACGTAGTCGAACGTGGTTCGTGTCCCAGACCCGGTGGCTTAAAACTCACGCCGGGCGCGTGTGCGTGCGTGCCCAAGATCCTGAGAGGAGAATGAAGGAGAAGGGATTGCGGTGTGACCATCCCCCCGGGGGGTGATTTCTCGCTTTTTGTCTCTCTCTGTCTGTCTGGCGAGCGCACGCGCCCTATAGCAAAAACCTTTCACCAAAAAACAAAGAAAAATGACATTATTGGGGGTGTTGTCTGTCTCCTTCATGAGAGATACATAAAAATAAACTTAATCACCATAGTACATTAACAGTACCAATAGCTTACAAATTGTCATCTAGGAGTATTTCTTTCACTGGCAAATTGTTCTTGGGCAATTCATGGGTGAGAGTAGTTCAAAAGGTTTGTGGAAAATGGAATTAAAGTACAAGTTCATTTTAGTGTGAAAATTTTTTGAAACTCATACGTGGTTTGTTCATAATACCCGTTTGTCATGAACCCGTTGAAAGCCCCTCATATTCCAGGGGTCAGCAAACTGTTTCTGCAAAGGGCCAATCAGTATGTACTTAACACCCCGTAGGCCATATGGACTTTGTCGAAACGATTCAACCTCACCACCACAGTAACTGGCCATAGATGGCATGGACTTGAATACATTGGCTGTGTGTCAGAAAAACTTACACAAATAGGTTGGGCCAGATCTGGCCTGCTGGCCAGGTTGCCAATCCCTGCTCTAGAACCCCTGGGCACAGCTGTGTGATCCCGGGCACGTGCTTTCTCCTCTGACCTGCTTGCTTGTCTATGGTGAAAGTATGAACAGAATTGCCCTCAGTGGATCGGAAGGATTCAGTGCAAAAAGCACTTTTAATACAGGAGGTGTTGAATAAATGGTAAAATAAGGATAAGGACATCTTCCCTCTCCACTGTGTCTGTTGGGCTCTTTCTGCATGCCAGACATTTAGAGCGATGAGTTATATAAGATGTCACCCCATGGGGCCAGCAGGTGGCATAGTGGTTAAGGTGCTGGACTCCCATGAGGCCAACTGTGGCTTAAGTCCCGGATCTGGAGGCTTGAAACTCAAACCAAGTGGGTGTGCACGCGTACCCAAAATCCCAAGAGGAGAATGGAAAAGAGATTGTGATGTGGCTATTCCCTCTGGGGGTGATTTCTCACTTCCTGTTGGTCTATCTTTCTCTGTCTCTCTGGCGATTGAAGACACCCTAGAGCAAAATTCTCTCTCTCAAAAAAAAAAAAAAAAAAAAAACAAGATGTTGCCCCAGTTCTCAGGGAACGGATGGCCTGGTCAAAGAGAGATGAATAAGACAAATAGAGCAAAGCATGAAGGGTGAGCTGA